ATTTGCCTGCTGGAATAAACCACTAATAGTAGTGTTTTTAAATTAATTATTGGATGTTTGACAATAATGGTGCACTTCAAACAAAATAGCACAGCTGAAACCAGCAGGGACTACTTTCCCTGTTTTAATAGGATGCAGAGCTGATGAGTGGTTGGAGACTGCATCGTTAAAAACTGTTGTAAAGCAGACGGGTGCTGACGTGGATCATCTTAAGTGCTTTTTAAAAGCACAAAGTAAAACTTGAGCAGCAGAAAGAAAGAAATGATCTGCAACATCATTTTAGCATCTTTTACTTGTGATGCATTTTCCCCACTCGATGCATTTAAATGCATTTGTATGTATTTAAAGCATCTGATTAACATGCCAGTTTTATTAAACTGAGTTTGGCAGTTTGTTTTGCACAGAATGAGGAATAGTTCAGACATGCTTTTGTTCAGGCACGGTCTTTTTCCGAGTGACTGCTCTGAGAGTGCATTTTCTTTCTCTGTGAATGTTTCTGATCTTTGTCATCTAGAAAGTAAAGCTATTTCAAGTTTGTCAGCAGCTTATAACAAGTGACTGATTACAGCAATCAAGAACCAGGCGACGGGGCATTACATCCTCAACGGCAAAGGAGAGGAGGTCAAGTCCAGAAGCTTCATCGACTTAGGCGTTGAATGGCATTACATCATCGAGGGCGACGTGGAGACTCTGCAGACCGATGGCCCTCTGCACGACCCCGTGGTGGTGCTGGTAATAACACTTCCTTATCTATCGCACTCATATATGACTTCATTCAGAAGGCTATTTACTTGATAATGAGCATTAAAACAGTTCATCCCTCCTGCCCAAGTCTCCCAAAATCCTTTTTATCACTTATTTTCTATGGCTATCTGTTAGATTTTAATTAATGAAAATCATTAGTGTTATTTAAATGTACCATATGAGAATGTCTCCAAAGGAAGAGGCTTATCCCTAAGATAAAATACTACTTGAGATAAATTTGAATGAGTCAGTCCCTTCAGTTGTTTTAGACACATTTGCATTTGCTGGGAAGATGTTAAAATGTGTACAGTATTAAGCTGCTTCTTTTATCGCTGCGCCTCTCTGTGAGCACGAGGGCAAACAGACGCAGTGAAACTGAGATCAGAGCGTAGAGCATGGCTATTCAACTACGAAGTTAGTTGGGCCAGATTTTCAAACCGAGGAATTTATCTGGGCCAGATATTTTTTTG